TTTTAAATGATTCGATTTATGGATCGCTCTTTGTGAATGATGTTAATATCTCCTGTCGTGGCAAAAACATGCATACTGTTGAAAGGCAACTGCAGCTATGTTTAAAAAAAATTCAGAAATGGTCTTTAGAAAATGGTATTAAATTTTCAAAATCTAAAAACAAATTGTATACATTTTCGTAGAAAATATAAACTCCACAAAGAGCCAGAATTAATTTTAGACAACACTCCTATTTAAGTTGTAAAAGAAGCCAAATTCTTAGGTCTTATTTTCGATTATCATTTGACCTTTCTGCCCCACATAAAATACTTAAAGGATAAATGTCTGAAGGCCCTAGATCTGTTAAAAGTTGTCTCAAATTCCAAGTGGGGAGGAAATCAGAAAACTCTCCTTCAACTTTACAGAACACTGATCCGATCAAAACTTGACTATGGCTCCATCGTCTATGGTGGAGCCTGTAAAAGTAATTTAAAATTATAAGTTACAATTCATCATCAAGGACTGAGGCTTTGCCTTGGTGCTTTCAGAACTTCACCCATTAATAGTCTGTATGTAGAGGCTGATGAACCATCCCCCAATATCGCCGCCAAAAACTCTCATTGCAATACGTTACAAAACTTTTTTCTTATCACTCAAATCCAGCTTTTGAGTGCGCTTTTACTCCTCTGTATGAGGATCTATATTATAAGAAACAACCCCTTATTCCACCCCTTGGATTAAGAAGCAAACCTGACCTTTCTGCTGTCGACATTCAACTCAATAACATATCTCCCACCCAAATTCTCTTGTCGCCTCCATGGCAACTGGTAAAGCCACAGGTAAATCTCTCGTTAACCAAACTAAAGAAATCAGACACCAATGAAATAATGTACCAACAAGAATATCATCAATTAAGAAACAACTATCATACATACAACTCTATCTTTACAGATGGATACAATGATGATGACGCAGTTGCTTGTGCCACTGTCATTGGATCCAGAACCTTATCATCCAGATTACCAAACGGCAGTTCCATTTTTACAGCAGAATCAAAGGCAATATTAACAGCTCTCAAATATATAAATACTCAATCTAAGCACACACAGTTCATTATAGTTTCTGATTCCCGTTCCTGTCTTCAGGCCATTAAGAATTTTTCCTGTCAACATCCACTTATACGTGACATCATAGAACTTCATAACAATCTTGCAGTAGGCCAGTGTGACAATGTCTTTTGTTTTTACCCGTGATTAGATTTTACATCCATGATCTAATGCAAAAGAATTAGGACACTCAAGTAGGTATAAATAAATTACATGAAATTAAACCAACACTTAGCTACACCTACTTGGGTTTTCAGTCCAGATTTGAAGAGGTCATAATACGACGATGTCGTATTGGCCATAGCAGGTATACAAATGATTATTTACTGAAAGGTGAGGATCCCCCATTTTGTATCCCTTGTGATGAGAGAATCACGGTCAAGCATGTCCTGCTTGACTGTGTTGATTTTTCCATCACAAGGGATAAATATTTCAAATCATCATCAATAACGGATCCTTTTAATAGAATCAATTCTCATTTAATTATAGGTTGGTTTTTTTAAAATGAACTTATTGATAAATTTTTAATTGCTTAAATAGCTATATTTTATATTGGTAATGTATAATTTGTAACTTAGATTTTTAGTGGCTATATCCTCAAAGGGGGTTGAAGTAGTGTAAAATTATTGTCCCCCTGAGAGGATATGTAAGCCCACATCATTCAAAATACATTTATTCTTACATCGGTTTTAAACGTAGTATATTTGGGTTTTTTAACTGTTGGCTTAATTGCATCCCATCACCAGCAGCTGAAGGATTGGTGTAAATGCTGCTGGGGAGCCGTGCAGGTAGCAAAAGTAATGTAAGTCCCCACGGTCCCTAGTAAGGTGGCCTAACTTTGGTTGCTGGTGATCTATAGCCCATTTATATATTGTACTGTTGATTGAAAATGTTGTTGTTTTTAAATCGAAACTGTGATACTCTAGTTATTTTACTGTCCATCGTTGACAGCTTTTTATTAAATACTAACTCAGAAGGTCAAGACCGGACAATGACAAATTAAGAATTGAATATAAATGAAATGCCATGTCAGTATTATCCAGAGCATAAACTAGATGCAGCGGGAACTCTTGTAAGCTCGTATAAATTAGGTATTGGTTGCTCTGAACGTGAGAATCACATAATGCCAGAGGCTGTTGTTACCTTGGACGAAGGACTTGATATTACCTTCTCATACAAGTGATAATGCATCTTCAGTTGATTTGAGGAAAACGGTTTATTCCACATGTGCCACCCCATCATGTGATAATCATGAACATAAACACGTTTCAAGTGACGGGTGAGAATTAGACGTGTTCCGGATTTTTTCTTAGAATAAAATAAAGTAAAGTAAGATTTTAAACATTACTGTTTATAATATCTTTAATCTTGATGTTAATTTAACATTTGGAAATAATGTGTTTAATCTTAACTACCGGGCAAAAGAAAGTTTTCACCGACTTCACTTGACCAAACACCAAACACAAAGGCATATGTGAGATTTATGATGATTAATTTATAAACAGAAATCATTTTCTATGAATTAGAATGAAAATGCATTGTAATGCCGATATTGCATTCTCCGCAATTCACAAAGAAAGAGTCAAGGGGTCCAAATTAAAAATTACACAAATCAGAGTTCATTGAAAAAGTGCATGAAGAGTCCATTAATGACACAGTAGTCAGGTAACACGTCATCAATAGCGAGTGTGACCACCCTGGGCATCCATGCACGCCAACACACGCCTCCTCATTGCCGGCGTCAGTCGGCGGATAACGTCAACAGGAGTCCTGTTCCATAAGTTCAATAGAGTCTGTTCAAGTTCCTGTCGGTTCGCTGGAGGCGGTACATGTTGTCTCAGCTGACGATCAAGATGATCCCAGAGATGTTCAATGGGGTTCATGTCTGGAGAACAAGGTGGCCAGGGCAAAACGTTGACGTTAACGTTGTTCAGGTAGTCTTGAACAATTCGGGCGGTGTGAGGCCTTGCGTTATCTTGTTGCAAAATTAATCCTCATGGCTGATGTTGAATAAAGGGCGGGACAACAGGTCTCAACACTTCATCCCTGTATCGCTGAGCTTTCAGGTTTCCTCAGATGATAACCAGTCGTGTTGTAATCTGGCCACAAATGCCACCCCATACTATGACGCCTCCGGCTCCAAACGGGTGAACTTCTCTAATGCAGTTTGGCGCCAGTCGCTCTCCCCTTCGTCGAAAAACTCGAACTCTGCCATCGTTTCTGAACAGACAGAACCGACTTTCATCCGTAAAGAGCACTCTCGCCCAGTCACTTCGCTGCCACCGACGTACAGTTCGTGCCCATTGCAGTCTGCGTTGACGGTGTAGACGGGTCAAGGCCATTCCACGGAAGGGTCGGTAGGCAAGCCGTACAAAGTCGTCGAAGGACTGTTCGTCTGCTGATGGCATGCCCTAGCCTAGTGCTGTTGCCGCCGTTGACGTCACCGTCACAAATCTGTTTCGGATGTGAATCTGCCGGATGTAGCGGTCTTCGGCCGGTGTTGTCACTCTCGGTCTTCCCGATCTTGGCCGGTCTTGAGTCTGTCCTGTCTGTTGGTAGCGGATTATCAACTTGCTGATGGTGGTCTGGAAGCAGTTGAAGGTTCTGGCTATCTGACGTTGAGTAGCCCCCATATTGGCCATAGCGAGCGCTCTGTCTAGTTGCGCCTGTATAAGTCTTGGCATATTCTTGGTGTTTTTTTGCTGCTCTGTCCAACGTCGGTATTTATGCCCCAATCAGGCACGTGAATTTGGACCAATGTCTCAAAATCACGTTTTGCACGTTTTCAACAATGCATGATTTGGAAAGATGCGTTCGAAAATCTGTGTTGTGGTGGTGGTCATGTTGCATTTGGGCGAATGTTTTCTGCTGGGGTTCAAACCTGTACCATCTTTTTTGCTTTTTATACAACTATTTTCTTTTGTCCGGTAGCTTATGTTGAGGGAAAGCTTAAAAGTAAGTGTGTAAGTTGGGTTTAACGCCGCTTTAACAGTACCCCAGTCATTTCCAGCCTACTAAGCTTAAATATTACATGCAACATCATTAGGAGCATATGACACTAAAAGGAAGTTCTGCCATTACGTCATAGTCAACAGATCGGATCCAATATATAAACTCCTGCTATTCGGTAAAGTGTATATATTTTTAGTAGAACATTGTTGTTTACCAACACGGATGCTCTAGTAATTATTTTGATATATTGTACTTGTATTCAGCAAATTTTATTACGTACATACATACTTTTTTCTTTCTTTTTTTTATGTTAAACGCCGCACTCAGAAATATTCCATCTTAATGACGGCGGACACACACACACACACACACACACACACACACACTAACACACACACAAACACACATGAACAGCAAAAATGCGCCTTGAAGGAGTGACCGAAAAACATAACCTCTCTACAACAGAACAATCCCAGACACCAGCAGTCATTGAGGTTCCAGTTGTGCAGGATACAGCAGCGTCCAAATTTAACAATCAAAATACTCCACCAAATATGTTATTCCCAATACCACACATATCAAAATTGCATAATTATACTTATGATAATTGCTGATTGCTGGGCAAAACCGTCACTTTCGATGTCGTTGCTGAATCGGAAATATCAAAAGGTGGACGTGAATTATTTAAACACCTTTGTGGAAATCATTTACATAAATGAAAACGTCATACATTTTATTGGCACATCACGAAACAAACAAACAAACACAATTTCAGTATCACAGGCTATTCTGTTTCAGAGGAGAAAATGCACAATCGGGCGGAAAACAAGCAAAGACAAGCTCACTTGAATGTTTGGTTCAGCAGAACTAGAAACTGATGTGTGTTTGTTTTTCATGCAGAACATAAACATCTTATATGTTCTCTCTGTTGCTTTTATGTGTAAAATGATTAAAATTACTTACCACTATCTCGCGCGTAACTTCTGTGAACGAAGAGGAAAACTGTTTGATGAAGATGTTTGATCAAGAAGAAAACAGAATCAACGATACCCCCACCCTTTCAAAAGTGAAAATATTCTTACAAAGTAGAGTATATATGTCTCTCTACTATATATGATTGTCTGCTTTTTGTTAAGGCCGCCGTCGCATTGCAGGGGTATTTCTGTGTATGGTCAGGCAACAATAACTTACTGTTCTTTGCAAATTGATATTAGCATAATTCATAAAATTTCAACGCTTTTTTGCCTTTTTGCGCTCAGTGGAATCTGTTTCGGCGGATAATCGAGGTTGGTTATTCTCAGGCATTGACGTTTTATATTCAACCCCAGTCAGTGCATCATAGTTTTCTGTAACTCAACTGTAGGTCATGTCAACTCGGATTTCAATTGTAAGCAATTGCCGTTGATTCTTATGGCGGTTGTCGTTTTTTTGGACAGATTCGATTGAGGTTTAGTTTGACATTGTATAACCTATCCACAGAGATGGAATTGCAACTAGTGCAAATTCCGTGACGATAATGTTCATTCAAAGGAATTGTTGGTGACGTACTATAATATTGCCTGACTACAGAGCCAGAAGTACTAAATTATCCTCAAATGGCATCAAGCCCGTTGACAGTTCAACTCTACTAAGGCGAAAATATTGTAGAGTCATCATTATCATGAGCATAGCACGATACTATGACAAACATAGGTTGTTGCGGACCTATTCTGACCCAGAAACCCGACAGTTTTAGTCTTTTGTGTGCACATTATGTGGCTTCAAAAGTCGAGTTAAGGCATTGCTAGCTTCCTGACCTCAATTTTTAGTATTATAGTGTGTCTGCTGCATGATCACACATCCTTACCGATTGATTGCTGTTTAAAAAACTGTCAACAATGTTTATTCATATTTATATACATGTATTTAAACTTCATCAGACGGCCTGTAAATGATTGAGTTTGGACCAGTCAATTATCGCAATGTCCAATGCTGTCGGGTACGAAGTAACTGAGTCCGACTACTTTATCCATGTAAGTCTTTTATGACAAGCATAGGTTACTTGGGGCTATTTCTCATACAAGCCGCCTTCGTTTGGCAAACGTACGGTTGTGGGGCGTTACGCAAGAAAAAAGCAAATAGTGTGAGTGGTGGATACAACCGGTAGTCCAGGACATAATAACACCCGGTATCATCACTGATTTTCAGTGATCCATTCATATACTCTTCGCGCCTATTTTGACCTAAGGAGTCTGTTTCGGCATTTCTGGCATTGACGTTCTATATGCACAGTTGCATCATACTGATATATAGGTACATAGCATGATGTGAATGGTGACGGATTCAAACCAATGTGTCCTACCTGTTGGTTTGTTCACTCATGGTTCTCACCCTCTTCCTGAAACAAATAATAATATATAACAAATGAATATCTGCAATGCCCTGTAGTCCATCAGTTATTGCATGGTCAAAACGCTAACACCATTATAACGCTGGTCAATGGATCCGTGTGCACTCGATTCCTTCTTTCACATCTGCTTGGAGATTAAACAACCAAAGCTTCCTGAAAGGTGCTAGAAGGTTAGCAGTCATATTACCATCTTCTATTACCGGGTCGTCGTTCACTGCTGGGTGAACAGAGGCATATTTCGAATAAAGTGATTTTGGTATTACATCGAAGCCCCAGAAACTCTCAGGAGTCAAGCTGCCAGACACAGTCAGTTTAGTTCAATTCGTTATTGTATGAAAGGCCACAGGCCCATATACAACGGAGTTACATAACATAATTTATTAATTACAAAGTCAAGGTAACAATTCTTTTCATAACCAAAACCCAAATGCATGGTGTATGTACAAAGCCAGTTGATGTTGTATTAGAGTATCACTGCAGGACTGTAATAAAGACAATCTTATAGCATTAAAATGAGATGAAGACCACTGCGGTATAAGTACTTGTTTCTTAGATGTTTGTATATAGGGCAAATAAATTTAAAATGGTATTAATCTTCGACAACATTGTCAGAGAATGGGCATAAGCTTAGGGATTTCTCAACAGAATCATCCTGTGTAAGTTTTTAGATAATTCAGGCCAAGTCTAAAACGAATTATGATGTCACGAAAATTCCGGTACCGTGAGTTTGATAAATAAGATTCTGGTTCAAGCAATGACTTGAACTGACGACAAGTATCATATCTTTAACTTTCGCAAATATCTGAATGCCATTTCTAATTATACATATCAATGGCACGCATGCGAAAGTACCATGTACAATGGGAATCTCCCGCATTCATCATAAACCATATTACTTGGTGTTGACATACTAACATTCAAAAACGTTTTACAAGCGAGGAGATGCACCTCATAAATTGTATAGAACTCTTTACAACCCCATATCGCAGACCCATATGGTAAAATGGGAATCAAATAATTTAAAATAAATTTTCAGTGAAAAAACTCTAAGCTTAGAGATAACAGAGTGAAATTGTAACAGATCTTTCTTTGCTCTGTTAGTGTGATTAATTACAGACTTATTCAGATTTAGTGTATGGGTAAACACTATGCCAAGGTATTTGTATTCATTCACAAAATTAATACATATACCATTAAAAACATTTCTCTCCTGCGGCCACTCGACCACCTCTACGAAATATAACAATATTTGTTTTATCAAGATAACACTAAGTTTCTATTCATCTGAATATTCCGAAAATATTTGAAGCTGCTTCTGTAGACCAATAATAGTACAAGACATCAAAATCACCTCATCTGCAAAAAGTAGCATCAATAGTTCTATGTCAGGGAAGAGCTGGATGCCATTTCTACTAGACTGCATGATATCAACATATAACTCTTTTATAAAAAATGAGAAAAGTATAGGACTTTAAACTAATCCTTGGCGTAAGCCTGTCGGGCAATAAAAAAAGTCACTTTTAGTATCACCACGATGTACATGTACACACGATTTTACATTTGCATAGATTGATTTAACAGTGGCAAACAATTTGCCTCCTTAACCTTTATTTTGCAGACAACTCCACAATTTAGCTCTATTTACAGAATCAAATGCCTTTTAAAAATCAACAAAGATGACATACAACTTGCGTTTGCTGTGGGATAAATATTTCTCAATGACTGCATACGAAGTGAATATGTGGTCAAAAGTCAAATAGTCCTTTCTAAATCTCGCTTGTGTTTCAGGATTCAAATCTCTCATGTTTTACCACCGTGTTGATATACACTGAAAGGCAAAAGAAACGTCACTTCTGAAAATACTGATAAAACTTAACAGACACTGGCAGTTACATGTTCTGTGGTCAATAAACTCATTTAACGTTCTACTGCTTCTTTTTGTTGCCTTAAAGTCCATTTAACAATTGAGTCGAAAATGGACTGCTTTGCCCAAACGCACCCTACAAAAGTGCAAATGGACTCAATTGCGGAAAAGTCTTGTCAAAAACATGATGCACGTGCATATCGTGGATGGTATGGGTATAAAAGACACCCAAAATTGTTAAGCTGGCTTTCGTTATTTCGATTCATCAGCCATGCCAAGATTATCAGGAAATGAGAGCCTACAAGCGAATCGAAAGACTGCAAGCAGGCCAGAGTGCACAGGTCGTTGCAAATGCATTCAATGTCAACGTCAGAACGATATATCGTTTGCAACATCGCCACAACACCACCAACACCACCGACGACCGACCGCATAGTGGTCGTCCTCGAGTCACTACTCCCAGACAAGATCGGTTCATGGTACGTCAACATCTGCAGAACCGATTCCGAATGGCCACTGAAACAGCTCGGCAAACAATTGGCAACCAAAAGCGTGCCATCAGTGATTGTACAGTCCGACGTCGCCTAACTGCCAACAACATCTCGTGCCACCGTCCTGCTCGTGTACCCATCCTGAAAGATTGTCACCGACAGGTCCGACTGCAATGGGCCAGGCAGCATCAAAATTGGCGTCAACAGCAATGGAGAAGAATCATCTTCACTGATGAAAGTCGTTACTGTGTGTCAGTGGTGGATGGCAGAGTCAGGGTCTGGCGAAGGAGGGGCGAACGTTATGCTGATGCTTGTGTTATGGAACAAGACCCGTGGGGCGGCCCAAGCATCATGGTTTGGGGTGGAATCGGACTGAACCAGAGAGTGGGACCTGTGGTCTTTCAGAATATTGGTCCAGGCAGGGGTAATGGCATCACAGCTCTCCGCTACATTGACCAAGTCCTCATACCCCATATCGTGCCTTTTTATGCCCGTCATCAAAACCACACCTTTCAGCAAGACAACGCCCGTCCCCACACTGCCAGAGTCACCAGGGACTTCCTCCAGCAGCACAACATCCAAATCATGCCTTGGCTTGCCCTCAGTCCGGATTTGAATCCCATTGAGCACTTGTGGGATAAGATCCAACGCCGACTCAACGACGTACGCCTAAGGCCGACAACTGCAACAGAACTGCGTGCAGCGTTCCTGAGGATATGGGTCCATATCCCAATGGCCTTCATCAACAGGCTAGTCCACTCCATGTACAGGAGATGTGTGGCTTTAGTCAACGCCCGTGGTGGCCACACCAGGTACTGATTTTGACCCCCCCCCCCCCCCCCCCCCCCCAGCTGTGATGTCTTCTGGTGCCTCCCCAAATTCACAATTCGCAAAAACATTCCCCAAACTGTTAATTTCATGTGGGTCAAACACGGACTTTCTCCGATGTCTCTACTTACATATATGAGCATTTGAAAATAAAGATATTTATATGATACGTCCACATGACGTTTCTTTTGCCTTTCAGTGTATTTTTAATGATAAAAGTAATGCTTTACCAAGAATACTAGTGAGACATATACCCCGGTACTTGTCTGGATTGTGTACATTTCCATTCTTGAATAGACTTTGACAAGACAGAAGGAAAAGAAATGGGTCAGAAATCCGATTGAAACATTTGACAAGGAAGGTATAATATCAGGTAATGAGTACGTAAGCATTTCAGCGATAACCTAGCAGGTTTACCTGTTTTAAGGCGAGATATAGCATAAAATGTTTCCGTTTACGTGATAGACGATTCCAACAGAAGCATGTCAACATCACTAAAATTTTCGTGGCGCCATCATTATCACGTCCAAAGAACTCATTATCTACCAAATATATAGAATCATCCTTCTTGAAATAATGTAATCATTTTGTTGGGGGATATAGATCCTCTGAGGGTAGAATGTCTCTGAAGAGAATATATAGTTTTCCAAAATATTTCGGACTGCGTAAAGTGATATCTAGTCGGACTAGCCGTAAAAATTTAAGATCAAATTTGTACTTTCTGCAAGAGGGTTAAAACACATTTCTCAGTTTATAGTAGTGTTTCTGGTTGCATTCACTGCGACAACGACTATACCTTCTCAGAGCCTGCATGAATTCAGATCTCACGGTCCTACATGCCATATTCAACTTTGGTTTATCATGCTCAGTTTCATTATATTTAGTTTGTTTCTTTATACAGGACGCCGAGTCCATAATACTATGACAAACATAGGTTGTTGCGGACCTATACTGACCCAGAAACCCGACAGTTTTAGTCTTTTGTGTGCACATTATGTGGCTTCAAAAGTCGAGTTAAGGCATTGCTAGCTTCCTGACCTCAATTTTTAGTATTATAGTGTGTCTGCTGCATGATCACACATCCTTACCGATTGATTGCTGTTTAAAAAACTGTCAACAATGTTTATTCATATTTATATACATGTATTTAAACTTCATCAGACGGCCTGTAAATGATTGAGTTTGGACCAGTCAATTATCGCAATGTCCAATGCTGTCGGGTACGAAGTAACTGAGTCCGACTACTCTATCCATGTAAGTCTCCTCTTATGACAAGCATAGGTTACTGGGGGCTATTTCTCATACAAGCCGCCTTCGTTTGGCAAACGTACGGTTGTGGGGCGTTACGCAAGAAAAAAGCAAATAGTGTGAGTGGTGGATACAACCGGTAGTCCAGGACATAATAACACCTGGTATCATCACTGATTTTCAGTGATCCATTCATATACTCTTCGCGCCTATTTTTACCTAAGGAGTCTGTTTCGGCATTTCTGGCATTGACGTTCTATATGCACAGTTGCATCATACTGATATATAGGTACATAGCATGGTGTGAATGGTGACGGATTCAAAACAATGTGTCCTACCTGTTGGTTTGTTCACTCATGGTTCTCTCCTTCTTCCTGAAACAAATAATAATATATAACAAATGAATATCTGCAATGCGCTGTAGCCCATCAGTTATTGCATGGTCAAAAACGCTAACACCATTATAACGCTGGTCAATGGATCCGTGTGCACTCGATTCCTTCTTTCACATCTGCTTGGAGATTAAACAACCAAAGCTTCCTGAAAGGTGCTAGAAGGTTAGCAGTCATATTACCATCTTCTATTACCGGGTCGCCGTTCACTGCTGGGTGAACAGAGGCATATTTCGAATAAAGTGATTTTGGTATTAAATTGAAGCCCCAGAAACTCTCAGGAGTCAAGCTGCCAGACACAGTCAGTTTAGTTCAATTCGTTATTGTATGAAAGGCCACAGGCCCATATACAACGGAGTTACATAACATAATTTATTAATTACAAAGTCAAGGTAACAATTCTTTTCATAACCAAAACCCAAATGCATGGTGTATGTACAAAGCCAGTTGATGTTGTATTAGAGTTTCATTGCAGGACTGTAATGAATACAATCTTATAGCATTAAAATGAGATGAAGACCACTGCGGTATAAGTACTTGTTTCTTATATGTTTGTATATAGGGCAAATAAATTTAAAATGGTATTAATCTTCGACAACAATGTCAGAGAATGGGCATAAGCTTAGGGATTTCTCAACAGAATCATCCTGTGTAAGTTTTTAGATAATTCAGGCCAAGTCTAAAACGAATTATGATGTCACGAAAATTCCTGTACCGCAAGTTTGATCAATAAGATTCTGGTTCAATATCTTGAACTTTTGCAAATATCTGAATGCCATTTCTAATTATACATATCAATGGCACGCATGCGAAAGTACAATGTACAATGGGAATCTCCCGCATTCATCATAAACCATATTACTTGGTGTTGACATACTAACATTCAAAAACGTTTTACAAGCGAGGATATGCACCTCATAAATTGTATAGAACTCTTTACAACCCCATATCGCAGACCCATATGGTAAAATGGGAATCAAATAATTTAAAATAAATTTTCAGTGAAAAAACTCTAAGCTTAGAGATAACAGAGTGAAATTGCAACAGATCTTTCTTTGCTCTGTGCAAAGTGCAATGTGGTGTCCTCCATCAGGCCAATGCTCCAGTTCATACTAGTCATGTTGCAATGGCGGCTGTTCACAAATATAACAAGGAGCAAGAACTGGTCGCTGTTTTTGCCGGCTGGCTGACAGACCAGAATTTGACATTCTACAAAACAAGGATAACTGTCCTGGAGCCGAGGTGGAAGAAGTGTATTCAATTGCATGGGCATTATGTTGAAACAAACTTAAACCTCATGACAAAGTTTCAGTTTTGGTGCCAGGTACATTCTTTATCATTCTTTTTTTAACTGAAAACATTAGTTCTGATGAAAGTAAAGCAGGAATGTCAAGTGATATTTGCATGAGGGGCTGGTCACTCCTTTTGGAAACTACACGATGTGTGATAGATGTATGGACTGTGCTTGGAAATGTACATTAGCAGTACCACTAAATTAATCAAGACCAATATACATGTATGAAGTTATGAAAGAATAAAATCTTTTGGTGATTTTAACTGTCTCTGATACTTCAAGACCAATGCCAAAGCCGAAAAACCCCTAACAGTATGGTATGTGCGGAAAGAGTACATCCCTGGCAGTAATCTCAATACAGCCAAAGTATGACCATGGGGATGAAATGGGACAAGGAGTCCATGCGCATACATTAAAGCTGGCCAAAGTGTGTGCGGAAGATTTCCCCAAATCCCAAATACACTTTTGAGATGCTTCAGGATTTACCTCTGTGACTGCATACAAGAAACTAGTTATCTGACCTATTTCAAAGGGATTCATCTAGATATTTCTATTTTTTTCGACAAACAGCGGCAGTCCCTAGGATATTAATAATAATAAAAACACTTTTTCACACGAAAGGTATGTCTAATAAGATATATGTAATACCTGATATCTTCAACATTTTCACGTCGTCCACATCTCCATTGCCATGCATTTCTGAAAACATAATGTTCAAATATGGTATGTATGTTCACAGAATAATGTCAAAGTGAGTTAGTATGGTTTAACGCCGCTTTTAGCAATATTCATTCCAGCAATTTCACAGAGGGGGACACCAGATATGGGCTTCACTCATCGGACCCATGTCAGGAATCGAACCCAGGTCTTCGGTATGCCGAGGAAATGCTTTAACCACTAGGCTACTCAACCAGCCTGAATAATGTTTTCATATCAAAATAATTTCATGGAACAATGGACTGAGTGAGTGAGTATGGTTTTACGCCGCTTTTAGCAATATTCCAGCAATATCACGTCGGGGGACACCAGAAATGGGCTTCACACATTGTACCCATGTCGGGAATCGAACCCGGGTCTTCGGCGTGACGAGCGAACGCTTAAACCACTAGGCTACCCGACCGCCCCTGGAACAATGGAAACCTTAGGTGTATTATGCAATGTCCTTTATATGAGAGACAATGCAAGTGTGCATCACAGCTATGTCTTAATCAAACATAAAGAGCATATCCTTAAGGAACAAGCCTTACAAAGTTCCAACGGCACACCGTTCATTTTGAGGTGGTTATTCGTTTTGATTTACTTAATAAAGTAGCTTGAACTTAATAATATTTTAGTATCCACCACTGAATAAGTTTTTGTTGTCATTTCATACTAAATCTTCCTGTTAGGCATTATTTGTTTACATATGTTCTGAAGCTTAAGCTGCCATATAAACTTTACACCATTGTGATAATGTAAGCCAATAGCAATGTAAAGGCAGACCCATAATAGCAACAACATCAGGGAGTTTGAATTTTAGGAAATATGCAGGGTACCTGAGTTCACAGTATTTGGTACCAACACTTAATATTTTGTGTTAGGGACTGTTCAAAGTTACTGATTCAACACCACAAATGGATGGATGATGTTGATCCATCCTATACACTACTTGTGTAAGGTGACCAGTTGAATAAAATAAACCTATATCCAACTGTTCTGAATCATCTTCGAGAATGTGTTAAAGGTTAATAGGACAGCATTTGTTCACGGTATGAATTTGATACAAACAGAACTGTCACAAGGCTCTGCAGCTCATCCACAATAGGGTAAAGTGTAAAGAAGGGTCAGCAACACAAAGGGAATACTCACATAATGCGCATAAAATAAAATCCATAACTGGCTATGAAAGTGGCCTAAGGTACATATTAATCACGGCACCGTTGGCGGTAGAATGTCGCGAGTATGCTGGCCTCACCATTATCTGCCCATATCCATCATTTACCCCTATTGTCGCGTATTAACTTAGGCCCATGTTTATAGTTCATAGTTTTGCTCTAGTTTGGTGGTATCATTTCTGGTTTGAAAGAACACATGCCCACAGCAGTACAACTTTGAAACAGAAAGTCCCATGATTCTTACTAACATATTAACACAGCTACAAGTAGTTCAAGTTTTATGACATCTCGTCCTGGATTGGAGAAAACATGTCTAATACAAGGTATTTTTAAAACTAAACCCCACATACATCTTACTATCGCAATAAGAAAGTTGCACACACATCTGGTTTAATAACGTCACGTCTAGAATAGGCACGTCTAATGTTAGACATCTTTAAAACAGAAAGACCAATGCCTCTCACTACCCTAAAATGAAAGTTCTGTGACTTTCAGGTTCGACTATGCTTGTCGCAAGAGGCGACTAACGGGATCGGGTGGTCAGGCTCACTGACTTGGTTGATGCATGTCATCGATCCCAATTGCGTGGATCGATGCTCATGATATCAATCACATGTCTGGTCCAGACTCGATTATTTACAGACCGCCGTCATATAGCTGGAATATTGCCGAGTGCGGCGTAAACCAACCAACCAACCAACTTTTGACCTTCAATAACGTGCCTGATTATGGTGGGGATTCCGGATAAGACTTTTCCCCCTAGTAACCTATGCTGGTGGTAAGAGGTGACTTCATGGATGGGGTCGTCAGACTCTGTGATTTGGTTGATGGCCCGCGTGGTTCGTTGATCACAACATAAATCACTGGATGATCTGGTCCAGATTCACATTTACAATTAGGCCCCTTCTATATATTTTGAATATGTTTTGAGTGCAGCATTTAACAACACACACATGCGCGCGCACACACACGCACATGGTTGAAAATGTTATTACGAATGTTGAAATGTACCAAGTTTCATAAACCTACCAGTCATACAGCTGGAATATTGCTAGAATATTGCTGGGTGCGGCGTTAAACAACAAACAAACAAATCATAAACCTACAGTAAATCCGTTTCACGTGTTCACGAAGATATTGCCTTGACCTTTTGACATGACTGTTCAATAAGTCAAAAACATTTTCAAGGGCTCCATAGGAGATACACAAGTTTTCAGGCGGGAGAAAAAACGTACTTATTAACATATAATATCATAATTGAGTGGCGGTTGTGCGCAGCTGCCGTGTGGAAAGATGCATAAAGCTAAAATAGCCAAAGCCAAACTCTTTCAGGGCGTAGCGCAGCGGTGACAACTGTTTTCATTGGCTGGGAGAAAAATGTACGAATCAACATGTTTGCCGCGCTTATTTATCTCTGGTTCTTAGCCGTTATACATATACTGTTTCTGCTATTTCTGTTAATCCTACCAAAAAAAACAACATTGCATGCATTGTTGAATGTGTGAAATGACCTTTGATCTTGAAAGTGTGAATAATTAAAATAAACAACTAACACTCGGTAACTAGCTTTTCTTACTAAAATCCACTTTGTGTAATAAAAGACCAGCTGCCCTTCCTGTCAGTGATTAATCCCTTACGTAAACAACTGAAGGTATCTTCGGTGTTGTTACTAAGTTGACATAAGTTGTGGACACGATAATCAAATGAATGAGCGGACACTTAGGAGATAAACATACTGTGTTTTCAATGTAGAGCTAGGTTACCTGTAGATTTAACTCCGCTAAATTGAATTTGGAACCGAACGCGCAGCGTGAGGTTTCAAATGTTAAATTTAGCGCGGTCTACATTGAAAACACAGTATGTTTATCTCCATTCTACCATGACTAAATAAAATGCAAACTCTTTGGTGTTAGTAAATATACTGAGTGAAGCGGCATGGGTTAAGTTCAGTGTTTTGAGTGGGTAATCGATCTGAATTACGGAATCACGGAACAAAATATCGTGCCGTATATACTCAAGCAGTTTGTTAACACTGTAATACTTCACTCGAACATATGACAAGCATTGAAAGCATATAAGCACGGCAACTTGGTAAGCTAACATGGGGTGGGCATCCCTAAAGAAAACAAAGCAAGCTTTGCAAGGCTTTCGCTCTACATCGTACGTCACCATTATGACGTCATATCGCTCATTGTGACGCAAAAGATTTGACGTCACAGTCGTATAAAGAAAAGCACCAAAATTTCAAGCTCTCTGTTGTCTCCAAAGCGTAAATACATTCCCTTTGTAGATTTCTATCGTGTTTTTCTGCACGAAATGTATTGACACACATCCTTTGAATATTGTAGTAACCGCATCTGTGCATTTTGTAACCTGTAATTGTAGATATAATTATTTAAATATGCCTACCGACAATGACTGAAAATACTACTATTCTATGAATATTAGCTTCCGCGCTGATGCGGCCGTCAAACCAGCTGTTTCAATCAGAGGGGGTTTATTGTGATTTAATTGCCTTTGATTGACCAATCAGAATCGAGTAGAACAACGTATATATAATATATTAAAACATCCGAGGCAGAAGCAGGCAGACTGGGCCTCAGCCCGATCGTCATGAACATTGAGCATTGAGCAGCGCGTCAAACACCGGGAACCCATTGTCACCCCAGTGAGGGGAGTCCCCTCAGTTGTGGAATGTTTCGTTTGAGGGACGATTTCACCTGTTGTTTTTTTACGCGGTTTCCGTTTTACAAACATAATTTTGGTTAAGCATTTGTTAATAAGTATGCCCTTAAGTATGACAAATATGCAAACTTGCTATGTTGACGTCTTTAATATTACCAGACAACTAGTTCCATCTATCTGGTCATCACACAGGACGTTAGCTGATAGTGGCCTCTGGGTCGTTTTGTGTTTTCCGCAATATAGACGCATCGATTATGCTGCAGTTATTATTTGTATTTATGTCAGTTACGTAGAGTGGGAAGCCAAGGAAGTATATAATGTCTACCTTAGGGCAACTTCTATAAGTGGCAAACTACGAACTTGACATCTTCCCGAGGCAAGGGAGTTAACTGATTTTAAAAGAACAGTTTCCACCCTTGCCGAACAAGGTTGGAATTTCCAGGCTCGATTGTAGCGCCACCAGTGGCTATTGGGAGTTATGTCCCACTGACAATCAGATTCCACCTCTCATATCACTTACAATTGCTTCAAACAAAGTGGTGGCGCCCTGTCAAGACGATCTGATCGATAATATTTTAATGTAATAAAACGAGCCTTAACTCGCGAAAAGCATCAAATCAATAATTAAAAAATGAAACGATTTGCAAAATATCCGTCGATGCCCAGTTGGCGGTACACATGCTTTGAAAATCCTTCAATCGACCGAAATTCGCACGTTGATAAATATGTTGTTTTCGAACCAGATGTCTAGTTCGCTACGCGATTTTAATTGGACTATGCATAGACTCATTAGTCCAGCTAAAATCTAACTCTGAGGTTCCAGCCTTGTTCAGCAAGGAACCCTACATCTCCTGCGAAAATCCGCTGAACGTGCTAATGCTCATGCAAAAAATGAATCACTGCAAACCTCCAAAAGCAGCTTTTTAAATAACATCAGCCTTTCCTTAATAGGTACTTCTAACGACGCGTTGTTTGTCCAAAGCATGGGAATATTGAAACGAACAAAGTCTAAGTCGTATTCATATCAACACATGTGATAACATTCATGATGCTGTAGAAAGGGTTTTTTTTCGTATGTGACATATTCATATTTCATAAGCATGTGGGAGAAGACGCATTTTCGATATCTCATCTGAATCCTCTACACTTTTGAAGTTGAACATTTTGGAATATGATTCCAGCAATTTTGTCTCCAAATGCTTCATCAAGGAATTTTTATTTCATACCATATTACAATTCTGTATGTATGTCTTTTGGTATGTAGTGCGTTTGTGGAACACATATTTGTGTTCCTTTGTTTGACCCTTATGATACTGATATTAATTATCATGGCAAGTATGCTGAAACTGTAATTATGACCCTCTCCATAGCGACCCGTGTGGGTGAAGGTGTATTATTACAGAAATAAGATGTTTGAAATTCCGATTAATATTTTATGTCATCTGAGAAAGCAGGGTCAAGCTCTTTCGTTACAACTTACTTGATGTGAAAACAAAGGATGGTCAGCGTAATCACAATCAGGGCGATGCATAGTCCGTACATAATGTTAAACTTTGCCTCCATGTCTGTATAATCCAATTCCTTTTTTGCTGCAGACAAAAGACACACATACATATCACAATGACACATGATTATTATTATTTGATTGTTTCTCTTGGCGAATGAATGTGTCTGTATATTGTGAATGTAACTTATATATTGTATTATATTTTGGATCAAAACCAAATCCATTCGCCAAGAGAAAGAGACAGTATTCATAAATGTAGTCTAAAGTTCAGTAAATATAGCTATGAGCCGTACATAATGGATATTTCAGATTTTACTTTCTTCAACTCCAAAACTAATGACGTGCTCATTTCTTCAACAGAGATCATACAAAATGGTATCAGACAGCGTGTTTATATTTGCAATTTCGCCAAATTCGACTCTGTAAACCTTCTGCTCATAATTCACACTGTTAGATCTTAAACTTCACCGCCAGTACCTTAGATGCTTGTATATAGCAAGCTCCTTCAATACCTTTGAAACCCGTAGGGATTCCGGGTAAAAATATTGGTCCCTGGTAATCTATGCTTGTCACAGAAGCGACTGGAGGTAGTCAGGCTCTGTGATTTGGATTTGCATGTCTTCGCAAATTGTGTGGCTCGATGATCATTATGACAATCACTGCATAGTCTGGTCCAGACTCTGTTTATTTACAGACCGCCATCATAGAGTTGGAATATTGCTGAGTGCGATACACAACAACCCATTGCCTTTGAGTACGTGTAGAATAGATTTACACACGGCTGTGACACGTTACACGGGATATACTACCTTTGGTGTAATCTGAGAGATCATTGGTCATAGCTGTCGCTGTTTTTCGGAGCTTGATTTTTATGAATTTCGGATCATGCAAGAACTAAGTCTGTACTACTGATGATATCAATGATGTAATTGTATTTTTTTCTTAAGTAGACCGCCCCTGTGGTCCAGTGGTAGAGCATCCGGAGAGCGAAAGGTCCTGGGTTTGATCCGGAATCTTAATGCATAGATCTTAAACAGACGAGGCTTAAGCTTTTTTAACTGTTTCTTTTATTTATAGTTCTAGTGGATAAATCAGTCGAAGTGAATTTAATACTTGAGGGTTATTAAACGATATCAGGTCAGGTTAAGTTAAACTTCTTGGCCAAATTCCCTTGTTTTGATTTTGCCAATCCAAGCAGAAATTCTGATCTCATAATCATACAGAAACAGATCAGGAAGAAGGGGATCACAATTGGTACCCCTATCTCTTGCCTAATTGTCTTATCACAGTATATGTTATCAATGAGGAAGTGCGGCATTTCACATACTGTTTTCTCAGTAAGACATTTGCTTACATTTTTTGACAAATAGTCCTGAACTTCTGAGGATAGATACGTAACGGGATCGTGTGGTCAGGCTCGCTGACTTGGTTACAGACCGCCGTCATATAGCTGGAATATTGCTGAGTGCGCCGTTAAACAACAAACAAACAAACGTAACGATATTTAGCAACAAATGACCTATGAATCGAAGAAAGCAGTGGAATAGTGTTGTACAAAGTTGAAAAAATCAAATGTATTGATGTTATTGAAATTGGTTGTTTGAGATTGAGGTTTTGAGAATCCACATTGGAACTACATCCTGTAATTATATAGGAAGTCTTTCCTTGATTGTATTAAAAATTATGGTTATTCTTGATCACTTACTAACCAACTCCAAAAGACATTCAACACATTCATCTTCATGTTTGGTCCATTTTGGGGGCATATGCTCGACATAATCCATAACGACATTAAACTTGGGATCTCAATTGGTAGGAGGCTGCTAACGTCATTTTATCCATATTTGAATAACTGACAAAGGTTGTTATTGACAACAATAGAGAAGTCACCTTTGATTATATGACTAACTGGTTGGTAGCAGTATGTGCGTTTCGATTATTTAAATGTGAGTTAACAGAGGTTACCACATTTCTTGCAAACTGAGTGGATCAGATTAAAGTGAATCTGGACTCATTTAAAAACAGGGGGCACAGGTGGCACAGTCGTTAAAAGGCGCTTCAATTCGCTGTGCACTTGCATCCCTTGGGCACACTAGAAATCTATGATTGTAGGTACGAATCCCAGTTCGCCGTGATTATGTTTCTAGGTTTGTCAGCACCTTACCGATACATGTGGGTTTCATCAAAGTGGTAATCGACTGAGACCTGCATCACTTCGGACTTTCCTTCCACTTTAAGTTGACACGTCATTATATAACTGGAATACTATTCAAAATGGCGTTAAATCAAACTCACTCATCTGAAAACATTACACGAGAACATCGGCTATTCCCCATCTTTTAATGCTCTAAACATCATTTGAGTCTCGCGAGAATGTGTTGACGTGTTAACCGTGGTGCTTCTTAACTTCTCATCTTCTCGTCAAAAACTTGAACTCTGATGTCCTGGCGCCTAACCTATAGCTTGCCCATATGTGTAGCACATATAGAACACGCTACTGGGAGCAGACTTCATACTTAGCCATTGCAACAGTATCAACCTGGACGATCAAATGTTATCCATTTTGTAGGCAGAGAAGTGCCGAGGATGATAAAGCCCCGGCGAGGTCGAGTGCTGTGTCGAATCAGGCTTCCTATCACAATCAGCATTCCACCGAACCCTGTCAGAATGCTCAAGTGCACTCTGGATGAGGATCTCCACCAGTATTTGACGGAACCAGGTGGTCTCATCCGAAATGTCCAAGGGAAAGATCGACTGCCTTCTTTGAGCACGTCTGGATGGGTTTGGGGTTTGGGGCTTTGTCGTGCACCTGAAACTTATGTCAGAGTTGTGTCATTGTTCTTAAGTGGGCTAAATTGTGAAAGCAAATTAGCCTTTTTGGACAATGCAGTAATAAACAGCCCAGGAATACCTAGGCACTTTGACAACTTGAGAGCTGTGTAAGAACGGTTCTGACAGTACAACCTCAAGTTAAAATCCAAAAGATGTGTGCTGTTCCAGAAGCAAGTAGAAGTCCTGGGCAGGGGTCATAAACCCAGGTCAGAACAAGGTCAATGAAGAGGATCTGAAAGCGATGAAATCCCAAGAAACCCCAACTATGTGGAAAGCATCTTAAAGTTTTCAAACTATCACACGGCATTCTTAAAAATTATACCAGAATCAAGGTTCCCCTGTAAAGTATTAAGTAAACATTTGAATGGACAGCTGAACAACAGGAAGCTGTTGAAGAGCTGAAAGAAGCCCTTTTATCTTCTCCGTCCTGGGACTTCCCCAAAAGTCAGGCAATTTCATATTGGATGCTAACGTTTTGAAACATGCGTTTGGAGCAGAGCTCATCCAGGTTCTGTACAATACAGAATGAGTCAACAGCTGTTGCATTGTTGCCACAGCAACGTCGATATTGCATGACAAGAAAAGGACTGAATGCTGTCATCAGATTCACATGACAATATCAACATTACCTGCACGAACGGATCACAGTAGTCTGTGATGGTTTCTCAACTTCAAAGGTCAAGAAGGACAGCTTGTCATGGGGCTGGAACAACTTCGCCGAATACGACATTACAGTGCAGCACATGAACGGAGCTGATGGTTTATCCAGAATGCTGAGTGGTTTGAGAGAGAGGACTGAAGAGGGAAAATCCCCCACAGAAGCCGAACTCTTTATATGGTGCCCAGAGGGGAAGTTTTATTGAATCAACAAAGAAACGTTCAAGAAAGATGCGTGTGGCTTTTTATCAACAAAGGAAGAAAAGGAAGACAGAATCTATGATGTTTAGAGCTCCTTTCGATCATGAAGAATCAGGTCTTTCTGATTATGTGTTCTTAAGCAAGCCATCCATGACGCTCATGGGATAGCAAGAAGTCATTTGCGAAACCGCAGTAGTAAGGATGAAGGCCTTTGTCCTGAAATCTGCAACCATGCTGGGAAAGTGTAAAAAGGTATGCCTGGTATGGAAGGGGCTAAAAGCCAACCTGTTCATTGTCCTGAACCCCCGAAAAGAGATGACTGTTCATCATGACCATATTAGTCCCTGTTAAGACAGGGACTTGCCTATCTGATTGAAGTGAAAGCTGTTCTGCCTATTTCGGAGACCTGATGATGGAACGCTCATGTGTGTGATGAATGTGATGACTGGCTCAATGGTACAGGTATCAGGATTACCCCATAAGAGGCTAAAGCCAGGTAGTCCTACATGTGTCCCACCCTGCTCTGCAATGGCGGGCAATTCAGAATTAGCCTATTCTAGAACTAAGTCATCCTTGAAGCCCATGTATCCCAGGTCAGACCAAATGTGGGCAGAAAGATGTGCAATGAGTCCATCTGTCTAGTAAAGACTATCAGATTCCTTTCTGGGGTGAAAGAGGTCCAATCCCTTCATAGGTCTCAGAAGATAGAGGGTTCCAGAAAATGGAGGGGTGAGTGGTGATCGGCGATGTCCAGGCAGCCAATCGAGACTGTTCCAGTGCCCATGCCGGAGAAGCAAGTGGGTCCCAACGCAGTTATCAGATAATCAGCGTGCTTGGATTCACCAGTCTGCAGCAGTCGATCAAGCAAGCCAAGTGAGTAAAAGTAGATTACCATATCTTACTTGCGTTTGCTATTACAATGTTGGTTCATGTTAACTGCCACTATCATCGCTACTAGTGGTTAACACTTCAGTAGGGTCTCCTTTGACAAAACAGCAGTGGCAGCAGTAAAAGCTTAACCATGGAGAATACATGGTGTTGAATAAATCAGTTTCATTTGATCTTATTCAGATTCAGATGGCCATGGTTACAAGCACAATGTTTTTGGCATCAGTCATAGAGAGTGACCTTGACTTTCAATCTCAGACAATCTCATGCTGGACCATTTCTCATTGGGCACAGATAAATTACTTACATACTTAAATAACAACCTCCACAGTGGTCTGATCAAGCTTAGGACTCTATTGTCTCATGCTTTCTTTTCTTAAATTGATACTGTTTCTTTAATATTGATTGATCTTTCTTTAATGTTGCAATTAGCCACATTCTAGCTATATGACGGCGTTCTGTAAATAATCGAATCTAGACCAGACCATCCAGTGTAATACATCTTGAGCATCAATCCACGCACTTTGGATGCGGTCATAGCAATCAACCATGTCACCAAGCTTGCCTCGGGTTCGTTTCTGCTGTATTTATTTGATGCTTCAACAGATCTTGTTACTTTGTGTATTTGATGCCTGAATCAAATGCATTTGCTTGCCGAATAAACTCAATTATAAACAGTTACCAATAATATTTATGAATAGTAATCTTTATGAATAATTATAAATCATTATTGGAACAATTAGTGAAGTATCTTTGTTACTAGAAAATAAAACAAACTCACACTCTGGTTGAAGCGGCTTCACGCAAAGCTTGCACCCTGACCTGCATCTAAACATGTCTTCCTCTTCTCTTGTTAAACATTGTGAACAGTGATACTGGCAGTCATCCCCAAATAAGCCTCTTCGGCATTTAAGACAATGTCCACTTACTTGATCACATGACTCATACCTAGGTTTACACGAGCTACTGCATAATTTGCCATACCGACCACCCATGCAAGTATCCTGTGAACAGTATCCTTGAATACTACATGCATATCCTTTACATTTGTCTAAACAAGAGTGTTGACAATTCTCTCCATATAAGTGACTCTCGCAAAGTGTACAGTTCTCGCAAAGCATACGCTTACAGCGTAGACAACCTTCAGGACAGGGTATCTTACATGCAGGGAAACAGAACCCATCTACACATCCTTCTGTACACATTGTTGTTCCTGTGCGATTATCCATCATACATCTGCCATTAGTACAGGTCTCCTGACACGGATGTTGACAAAATATATCGACAAATCCTGGTTCACACCCGTCAGTGCATACTCCGTCTTGATCACACTTTCCAAATAGACAGTTTTGACAACTCGGGGAAGCTAAAATTGAACTGAGGCAAACTGAAACTGGAATTACGAACGTTATGTCAAAATTAGCCATTAGCAAAACACGATACTATTCAGCATATAATCGGGTCTGGACCAGCCTAACCATTGATTAACGTTCCACGCCAAACCTGACCACCGGATTCATTTTATTGCAGCTTGTAACAAGTATTATTATTTTGGAACCTTCTAACCCGGAATCACCAAAGGGTCAATAAAAAGTAACTTAAGTTCATGTCTGCAAGTTGTTTCCTTAATTAATTGCACATGATGTACAACCAATGGGGTTTCCGCGTATAAAATATAAGATCTCAGCCACATATGCTTGTCACACATGTTAGAGACGACTAAGCAGATCGGGTGGTCAAGCTCGCATGAACGTGTTTACTGCATGTAAACTTATCACAATCGCTTTGATTGATGCGTGGGTAAATCACTGTGGTGTCTGGTTCAGACTCCATTAAATACCACAGCAACATTTCAGCCATACCTAATTGAGACTGGACCAGACAGGCCATAATTGACATGAGCAAACAAGCAACCAGGGTACATGTTTCATTTACCTACTTCAGTTTTTTATCAAGCATATGAACCAAATATTTCCCTGAAAGGGGATTCAATGAATCAATGAAAATAAAGCATATACTACACACTGAATGTAGGTCACCGTCATTAACTATCGATATCATATTAAGGTTGTCATTGCTTGTACATAAACATTCAAATAATATAAGCACCGCATGCAAAAGACATAATCTGCGGAAATACGCATTCAGTAAACCTCACTGTGAACAAGCACAACATGATCCAGAATTCATTGACATTACTTTCGTCAAGCTATGACATACATTTTATAACCTATCTGTGATGAAGGTGATATTGGATTAAGTGCCTACCACCGATGATTTGGAAAGAAGTACTTTCCTTTTAATATTATCATCCGCGGTGATACGCTGTCACATCAACTGTTCGTTTGGTTTGAAACCCGATAGACTACCTTCAGCACATGTTTCAAAGTTTAATTACAAAATTAAGGTTAGAACGCCTCATCGGTAGTACCCCAGAAATAGGTTGTAGTAGCTTAACATACAAACCTGTCAGTACACAGCAAACGTTAAGTTGCGGGAACATCCTGCAACAGAGTCATTAGTATTAGTATGTTTTGAATTTTCTCATAATTGGCGATATCTGTTGAAGCTACTTGTATAACATATACTGTCTCCCGCTCAACTATCCTCCTCAGAGCCAAACGTGCACCTGGGAGAGAATGTACGACTAGCGAACAACAAGGCTAAATTTTAATATTGCGAAAATTAGCGTATTACCAAATGTGATAACAATTTGAACATTATACTTAGTAATGGTAATACATACGTTTGTCAATATGATACTGTGACGGTCAAATTTAATATGGATATTTTTAACAAACGGTCAGAACTATTGGTGGTCTTTTCAGGGGAGAGCAAGTCTATATTGCACATAATTAAATTATTTTATTTTATTTTTACAATAATTTAAGAGCATTGTCCTAAAGAAAAGGTCAAAACCTACAACGTCCCACAAAGCAGAATTATGTTGAACACCACTTAAAGCTACACATCCAATAAAATGTATTACATTCTGAACAGAGATTTCTGCTTAATCGTCATATGTGAAATGGCTTCAATATGGCTGCCATATTGAATATCGGACATAATGCACATATGTCAACCACCCTCGACGACAACTGCCGATCCTCATGAAGCCTTGAATAATGGATATGTCAAGTTCAAAATACGGAAACATGATTCAACCACCAATACACCAAATAGCATTAGATTTCCAAAATGATGTCGCCGATTATGTTGTACACGTTGCACATTCAATTCTCTACCTCCCTTTGTCCTAACTAGCTAAATATTCACTTACTTCTAACTCTATAGGTCTCAGAGCTTCCAAGACTTGATTCTTGTTTGACTTCTTTTTATCTGTAACATATAGTATAAAACGATAAAGCATGTGTTGAAATATTACGAAAGTGATGCATGTCCGACTTCTCTCAATTATCCCCGATTTACATTATCTCTGCAACATATCTCACCAAATTATGGCTTCTCTGAAATAAAGCAATTTAATCCTTTCCATATCCAATAACAATATTTGCATAAAGCATCGATTGTACGATTCGGATTATATCAAGAGCAATTGTTTATAAATCACTATCAAATAGTAATGATACCAGGTGTTCGCGAAAATGTGCGCGTATCCTGACAATCGTCACAAACACATGCAAAGGCATGAAAAACACGGGAACATGTAGTACAAGTCAAAATAGGGAATTGCATCGGAAATCATTTTTGGCACTGATGCGTCATATTTGGAAATGTCCTCCACATGTCTGCCATAAAACTTGTTGAAAACTTCACCAGGGCCTTGAATGTTATAACTTTGATCAAACAAGTTCTGAGCAAGAGGCGTATGCCCAATTGTATCTCAAAAGATGTGAAATGTAAACACCCAAGGGTGGAGGTGATGGAATATTGCAAGACAGGAAGGGAAAGTTGACTATTGGAATATTTGAAGTGATCCCTCTTGTCATACAGTCTCGCGGAGAATGATTTGTCACTCTGAGTCTTCATGCACATATCTAAATGTGAAGCAGATGAGGCGGTCTCACTGATCTCCTTTATTTCTAGTTCTGATGGGTAAATCAATGGAAGGGAATTGGCTATTTGATTGTTATTAAACGATATCAGATCATCGATATACCTGATGCTTGAGTTAAACTTCTTGGACAAATTACCTTGTTGTGACTTTGCCAATCCGGACAGAAATTCCGATTTGTATGCATGAAAAATTGAATTCCAAACAGATCCGCAAGAAGGGGAGCACAATTGATTCCCATGGGGAAGCCTACTTCTTGCCTAAATGTCTTACCCCAAAATGTTAAGTAGATGTTATCAAAGAAGAAGTCCCGCATTTCACATACACAGTATTGTTTTCTCAGTAAACCTCAGAGGGCAATTGCTTTCATTTTTCTCAAATTGTCCCGAACCTCTGAATATAGATACAGTGAAATACGTTTATAACGAACACGCTTATAACGAACTGACGGATATAACGATCTTTATTTTTGGTCCCGGTCATTTGCTGTTTAGATGTTTTATATATGCGCATAACGAACTACGGTTACAATGAACTAAAATTAGTGGTCCATTTGAGTTCGTTATAACCGTAGTTTACTGTACGTAACTGTACCTGTGTTCACTACGTTTTGTAACAAAAGTCCCGTGGATCAAGGAATTAAGTTTTTCCTTAAGTTTGCCATTCGGGATAGTGTTGAACATAGCTGAAAACTGTTTGGACAGGATGGAACTTGGTTCTTTTCTGAGATTCTGAGTTAATTCAACTTGTCTGAAGAAATCCCTGCACTGATAAAACAGAAGCTCGGAATGCATATTCCCAACTACGATGACACTAAAGTATATTCAAGGTTTTGAAATACAGTTTCCTAAAAGACCGTAATGACATATAAGTTTCCTATTATATAACATATAATGTTTCCCTTTTCGTGATATTTTTACTTATTATAGCTTAAAATTTGAACTGTTCCCTTCGATCAGAAACAGCAACTTAACTTAAATTGTACACAGTAAGATTGACGTGTTAAATAAACATGTTTGTAGTTTTAGATTAAAAAAACAAACTAAAACTACAAATGGATTTTTTTGGGACGGTTCTAAGAGATCCTTCGAGGCTACCATAGACACTCTTGATATCTTTGCAAATATCTCCGGACTAAGAATAAATTTTGATAAAACTCAAATAATCTGGATAGGCTCCAAGAAGAATAGTAATATCAAATTTAGACAAGACTTAAACCTTGAATGGAACCCAGAAACCTTTAGAATTCTAGGCATAATTTTTTCTACTAATCGAGATAAAATGATTAAACTTAACTTTGAAAGCAAAATCTTTGAAATTGAACAAACCATCAAGAGATGGATGAAAAGAATTATAACCCCATTAGGCAAAATTGCAATTATCAAATCAATGCTCATTTCAAAACTTAATTTCCTTTTCCTTACCCTTCCTAGTCCCCCAGATGAATTCCTTAGAAAGATAAATACTATTCTTTTCAAGTTTTTATGGGATAATAAACCAGACAAAATAAAGAGAACAGTTGATTGTAAACCTATTTCCCTTGGAGGACTTGGTATGATAGATATTTTTGCATGTGTTGACGCTTTGAAAATAATCTGGATAAAAAAGTTACTAAATGTTGATTTGGAAAAGAAATGGAAAATTTTAATGACTAATACTACTCCTGAATTTCCTGATTTACTATTTATGGGAAGTGATTTTCCACTTAAGCTTGCTAAAAAAAACAAACAATTTTGGAAAGATTGTTTTACTGCCTTTTCTAAATATAGGAATAAAATAAAACCCAATTATTATGAAGAGTTCCTAAGGGAACCTCTGCTATACAATAAAAATATTATTATAAATGGCAAATCATTAGATAACAAAACCTTTCATCTCAATAATATACACAGCATACATTGCTTGCTAAACAATGATGGAAATTTTATGACATTGCAACAATTCTGTAATAAATACTTCAATATAAATTTTCTTGAATTTTATGGTATTACAAGATCAGTAAATACATACATGATACAATTAGGCATTAATAAAGACCTGCATCTGGAAACAACAAACAATACAAATATATCTATTGCCAATCTCTTTTCATGTAAAAAAGGCTCAAAGAAATATTACTATGTAATAAGGCAAACCGATGAAAGCTTAAAAGTTATTTACAAGTGGGAAGAGGAACTTTTAATGGATATGAACTGGCCTAGCTTATTTATCAGAGCACACAAAACTACTCCAGACCCTAAACTTAGATGGTTTCAGCTTAGATTGCTCCATAGAATTCTACCTGTTAATACTTATCTACTCAAGATGCATATTGTTGACAACTGTCTATGTACTTTCTGTAATGCCGAGCCAGAATCTATCCAACATCTGTTTTGGGACTGTAGGGTAAGCAAAAATTTCTGGAAAAGATTTTCTCAATGGATTGAATCTAAGTGTCCACATACTGGCAAGATAAATCTTACTTCAGATCTAATTCTTTTTGGCTTTTCAAAACATTTCCACACCGATGATATTTTTGATCTGATACTCTTATTGGCCAAATTTCACATTTATAGATGCAAAATGAAAAATAACCAACCAACCATTACACATTTCCAAAATGAGGTTAAATATTATTACCAAATAGAAAAATATAGACATAAAAAGCCAAACAGACTGAATTCTATACGAAATGGGCTCCTTATGAAAACCTTTTGAAAATATAAACATTTGCTATTCCAAAACTTTACTAAATATATATCCTGCATTCTGTCTTCATAAGTACTAAAGCTTCTAGTGAGTGTGAATGTGTGTAGGGATGTGTGTGAATGATATGTACTTTCTTAAAAAACCCTGGTTATGTATTTTGACTCCTATCAAAACACGATGTCTTTTTACCAGGAACAATAAATTTAAAAAAAATTAAAAAAATAAAAAAATGTTTGTAGTTTTACCTCTCGCGAATTAAGTTGTTGTTATTGTTGTTTAACGCTGCACTTATCAATATTCCAGCTATATGCCGGCGGCAGATAGATAGATAGATAGATAGATAGATACTGCACTTGGTTCACATTTTTCAGTTAGTCTTCTGTATTTGTTGAGAAAATCTTTGGATATCAGTTCTGACAGCCAAATACTAGTATCTTGTTCACAGTAATATTTTTAACTTATATTTCCAGGTGAGCTGCAGTGCCGTGGCACTATATTTATGAAGTTATGTATCTTTTCGTCCACAAACAATATATTTACGTTAACCATTTACGATATTTACTTACAAGTTTGTCGTCCTCGTTTGAAACGCACACACCATACACTGAAAAAGTTATTGGCAGTTTTTCAGTTCTCAGATAATTCAGTTTTAAAAATTATCAAATCAAATTTCACCTGGCATATAGTAACGGAATGATGTCAGTATATGTTGGTTAAGCCACAACATTATTCTAGCTATCACCTGATACAAACAGCACAAAAGAATGTTGTGTAACGCTTTCGCTGTAAACCAGTATTCCATCAATGTGACTGTTGCTCTGTCGGACAATCAGAGGTTGATAGCAAGGGCAACGATTCAAGATACTGGGTTGGTTGGTTGGTTGGTTTACGCCGCACACAGCAATATTCCAGCTATATGACGGCGGTCGCCTCTTACGACAAGTATAATCGCCTTTTTACGGCAAGCATGGGTTGCTGAAGACCCCTGATCTACACGGGCCTCAACATACTTGGAATGCATTCACAGTACAGGGAATGCATTCACAAGATATCAAAGTGAATTTATCTTCAGTAACTTTTGACAAATTTATGTTGAAACGAGACATGTATATTCATGTTAATAATTTATATACATCACACATACTTACACTGCACCAATGACATTAAACAGCAATAGCACACCAAGAGAGCTTCCAAAGGCCACAGCCAAGTTAGTTTCACTTGAATCACACTTACAGGCGTCTGGGTTGCTGAAATCTGATGGTCAATTGTGTCCATATTTAGGGATTTTATACAATAATTTCATTTTTAAAATATGCTAACTACCTATCTTGAAAAAAGTAAAGAGCACTATTGGTTTAACAATATGGCTTCCGGTTTAATGACATTGACCCTCAATGCCAGCCTATCACATGATTTATTTCGAATTCTTCAAGTTGAAAACATGAACATGAACATGGCTCAGTACAAAGTGTGCAGAATTGCCATTCTAGTGACCTTTGCTCAAATGCTTAAAAAGTGAATGACTCACAGTAAAGATAATGTGTACAAACGTTCATCAAATTACTATAAATATTTATATATAGTTTTTATCAAAGTGATACATGTTTGAGTGAATGATTTTGGAGAGTGAATTTGACAAGATCATTCCAAATGGTTATTTAACAAAAATGAGAACATCATGCTTCGCATTTAAAATAGGCCACAGTGACCAACAACTGAGATCATTAGATTTCCATCCAATATACATACGTATTCAAATGGCATAAATACTTCTACATGCATATACTACTATATAAAAAATGCATAAAAATAGATTTTCGCGATAATGGCAAACACTTCGTTACGATTGACCTTCGCTGTGACCTCGACCTTGCACACAGTTCACTCAAATCTTGACTCATTCCCAGTGACCTACCATAATCCCTCTTCATATGTTTGTTGTCTATAACGTGGAGGATGACTTTGACTCTTGATTTGACATATCAATGTTAACCCCGGGTTATGAATCACATATACATAATGTGATATATCTGATATATTCAAGAGACACATATTTTCCAAAATAAATACGCATATGCCACTAATTGAAAATAGGTTTCCGTGACCTACAAATGCCATCACATGTCATACGTAAGTAAACGATTTAACCACTACATGAATGAGGCCTGAACATATTTGTCAGAAACAGATAATTTAGTGAAAATAGCGAATAAACCGTACGAATGACCTTCACTGTGACCTTGACCTAACACGGAGGTAACAACATTTTCAGATCGTAGCTCTGCCCCACGGATGACTTTTCGCAAGGCTATAACCTCGAGGATGACATGGCATTTGACATGAAAAATCGATGTGTCAAATAAGGCATCACAGGTATAAACTATAGATATATGACGAGGATTTAGGTTTTAGTCAGACAAAACTGTATTCCTATATGCGTCCCTATTTACTGAGGGTCATCCCTTCCCACTTTCCGCCGTGGAAGATGCCATGAAGATACCAGCCAAACTGACTTCATTTGCTAATTTACGTCATTGTAAAATAGAGTAAGCATTCAATGATTAAGAATTAACGTTTTCTTGTGTAATGAGAAATGTACCTTTGGCAATGTTACAAAAAGGTCCTTTGTAGTTTTCTATACATCCAAGGGTGCAGTATCCGTTATGTTGATTACATATATCGCTGAGGCAGTTGACGCTGCACGTTTTTTTGCAGTCTGTACCATACCATCTAGGAAGACATCCTTCCGAGCATTCTCCACTTATTTTATTGCAGTGTTTTGCAGTATTGTTTTTAATCAGGGCGCAATGACAGGAACAATTTCGTTCACAGTTCTGACCAAACTTTCCCCACTGACACTGATCAGCATCGGCCACAACTGCAAATGAATGAACGCAAACATAGTTGTTTATCTGCATTGAATCGTAAACGTTCACCAGTTCGGTGCATCCAACAGTTTCAAATGCAAGTGCAGACAATCAAAAGTTCATATCAGTACGAATCGAGCCTTACATGATTATGGGAGACTTTTCTCTGCACAGCAAGATCCGACACCTACGGCGAGACGACAAGCGTGCTTGTTGTTGGTTGCTTTGTAATAAGACGAACTAAAATGACAATTACTCACATAGGACAACAGCACTTAGTAGAAACGTCAAGCACATGGTATCTGCATTGTTTAACTTTTCGCTGAGGTTTCCTTTTTTGGCCTGCAAAGAAAATAATATGTTTTTATGTATGGCATGAAATCCGGATTCAGTCACATTTATAAAGGATGGAAACTGTCAGTATCGTTCGTGCAATACATTATATGGTCACATGCTGCACGCGAAATATTCTCCGATCATTCCTTAAAATTATGTTTACACTCTCAAATCACTCATCGTGGAGAATAGGTCTTCAGCAACCCTTAAATAGTCGAAAAAGGCGACTATGCTTGTCGTAAGAGGCGACTAACGGGATCGGATGGTCACCCTCGCTGACTTGGTTGATGCATGTCATCGATCCCATTTCGCAAGTGTTCGAAAAACAGTGAACCTGATAGTTAAACAATAATTGTGTGCTGTTCACATTAAAAACTAACGTCTGTAAGTATCATGCTCCCCACAAACACGCAAACATCCAAATTGTGCGCCGTGCATGAACATGCACATGCACAAGTAAATTGAGAATCACGACCTTAAAGTCGAGTAGATATCTTAAGGATTATATATCAGAGATATATTATTTAATTGCAGAATAAGTATATTTTTATTGAAAAATAACTCAAAGACAATTCAATGTTAATTGATCAACTTTTGCACAGATGTCGGCTCAGCAATGAGCTGGTGCTTTTTGTCTATTTCGAAAGATTTGATGCATATTTTTTACTGGTTTCCAGGAAAACAAAATTACCTATCCAGGACATGATTCACAGACGTCAGTCTCGCCAATGTTACGAGGTGTATTCTTTGTCAAATTGAAACGCCAAAGTTAACCAAGATATGTGTACGTACAGAAGAAGACTGTGAAATCAGTACATAACCACACAATAGTTCAATGAATAATCAGTGAAGTATATTCTAACAAACATTTTTAGGTTAACAATAAGCAAAGGCAATACAATGTTAGAAAACGGAGCAGCAGCAATACATAATTGGCTACATAGATCATGTAAGTGCACTGTCGAGTCTACTGATTATTGTCAATACGTTCTTGAATCCAGAATATTGTTCGACGCTGCTTATTTTACAAATACGTACACCAAGCCGCACTTGGCAATGAGATAAGACACATGTTTGGTCGAAATGCCTCAGATGGCCCTTTTGTCGCCCTTCTAAGGGTACAGCCAACATTCTAGAAACGGTCCCATCCCAACGGTCCCGTACTGTCAGAATTAACCATCGGGAATGTTGAGACTTCTGGGATAATTAGTTATCATTATCAAAACAAGAGCCTAAGAGTCTGAAGATAAGTGTCTTACTGGGACGACTTTGGAGATATAAATTGCGGAGAACTTCGAGCGAGGACACTAGCCTAGTGGGTCCAGTTTCCCTATCTGTACTTGTAGACCTCTGCGGCTTGGAGTCTTTTCCCAAAATTTAAACAGTTGGGTTGGGCCGAAATATGTTCGAATTTTTACTTTGTTTCATTTTGTCGTTGTGTGTACATCTGCCTGCTCTTTGTAACGTTTAGACAAAGGACAGACAGACTCTAAACAAACGTGATGTCTTATAGACTAGAGTAAGAGTAGCTTCCCTTTGATAAAGTTGCAGTTACTCTCGCGGGCAGATCGATGAATTGCCACAAAAGGCAAGCAGAAACAAAAGGTGTAGGCACATGCTATTTTGCCTATATATAGTTACGCCACCATCTAAGAAACAGGTTTCAGTTGGAGCAAAATTGACTGTTGTTACTGTCCAACTGACAAATCACCGATCTTCTGACGTAATGTATATTAATACGCACATTCCCGAAAACTTGCAATGTTCAAGATCAGGTTATGTTTGAGAGATGAGAACGGGTTTTCCGACGATAGAATTATAGAATGACGGTATATGATAAAGACGCTATCACGCTCGTGTGGTTTGGGGTGGTTAATATCTGTATTAGGGACTAACACTATGTATTCAGGCTCGCTAATATATACTGAACAGCATTGAAAACGCACCAGCAATAAATCAGCAATAAATCTTGAAATACTACAAAAACAATTTGAGCAATGATCGATTTTAATTGGAACAGACATAGAAGGATTATTAAGAAAGACGACAAAGGAAACAGGAATACCACACAGTAATTACATTTACGTCATCAGTGTGAGGAAGACACATAGGGTTAAAATGAAAAGTCAATATCTGGTATGTCCGCCATTGGCAGCAACACAGACCATGCAACGTCTTTTTATTGATCGAATAAGTCTGCGAATAGTGTTCTGTGGGATAGCATTTCACTCTTGACGTGGTTTATCTTCAAGTTCTCTCAGGTTCCGTACTTGCGGACGACGTGAGAGGCGTTGACCCAGGTAATCCCATAAATGATCAGTTGGCGATAGATGGGTGACAGGGCTGGCTATGGAAGCAGAGGCACATTATTGTTCGCTAGGTACTGTGTTGAAACACGTGCCGTGTGCGCTCTTGCATTATCTTGCTGGAAGGTGTGCATATCCTGGTGCTGATGAAAGAATGGGATGACGTGATTTGCCAATATGTTATTCCTGTAGTAAAGGGCATTAACTCTTCCACGACAAACATGGAGCTCTGTTCAATGGTTATGACTGATGCCGCCCCACACCATGACATTCCCTCCCCTCCATCGATCTGTCTGCACAACGCAGTCATTGTGATAACGTTCTCCACGTCGACGCCACACTCGCAGTCGACCGTCAGCATTCCGTAAAAGAAAACGGGACTCATCAGAGAACAGCACACCATGCGACTGCCGCAATCTCCAATGACGATGCCTTTCGGCCCAACGCAGACGTTCATTTCGATGTCGATCAGTGAGTATGGGTCCAACATATGGACGTCGAGCACGTAGCCCAGCTGAGCGGAGACGTCGATGTACGGTGTCAGCGCTGATCAAACCGCGTCGGCCTTGTACGGTTGCTGCAGTCCTGGTAGCCGGAAGATGCCGACGAACAATATGGCGATCTTGACGTGGTGAAGTTACACGACGTTGACCCGGACGTGGTCGATCTCTGGTGTTTCCTGTCTGCTGGTATCTGCTCAGTAGCCTGAGGACTGTTGAATGATGGCATTGAAACCGTTGTGCAACGACTCTACTTGACGTACCAACTTGAAGCATGCCCAAGGCACGTTCACGTTCCTCTGCTGTTAATCTTGGCATTTCTTGTGTCAGTACCCTTTACGTCTGCAGCAACGAGTGATGTGGCTTTTAAAAGTCTGTCTTTTATAGCCCTATTCTGCATGCTTCCCGTGAAACAAAACACGTTTTCAATGATGCGCACGCAATTTGTTGCGTTTTGGCGTTGTCGCTCACAAAATATTTAGGAATGTGTTTTGACGAGCTGTTCGAATTCTTCTTCACGTTTCGTCCAGAACGTCGTATGTTACTCATTCAATCATATATTTTCATATGACATAAGCCCGGATAAAAATACATCCATTTTCATGGTGGTGCGTTTTCAATGCTGTTCAGTATACAATGTTTATTCCTTGTACTAAATCCTAAAACAGGATATTTATTTAATAGGTAAGTGAGGTAACATGTTTGGTAATATGTTTATGAAATATTTTATCTTTTTTCAACACAAATACAAAATCCATCGAAATAAATGAAAATTCCCAACATATCCGATGATAACCGATGATCCTTCCAGAGAAACGAGTCACATATTCAGTTAGCAGCTTATAATTCAGATGTATTCAGTATAAAGACTTTTTAAAACGAGTCGCAGGCAGCTTTTGATGAGGAGTATGAATTCTGCAATCTGCAGAACATACCGTAGACAGATGATGTCAGTAGCGTGTTTGTATTATAGCTTATAGGATTTGAAACTTCCTCCCCCAAATGGTAAGGAAGTTATTACCGAAACCTGAATTGTAAACTCGAGCACATGAATCACATGAATCGCGGAAACTGAGCCATACACAAACCCACCATTGTCTGCAGAGGTTGTACACCTGGGAACGACAGAGGACAATACTTTACCCGGGATATTTGTTGCGCAATGTAAGTCACAGATGTTTCTTAATTCTGCTGATTACTGACTAATCTTATTTCGTCAATGCTATTTCTTATTTGCGATTTAATTCCTTGTTTGTGTTTATTTTCAGGCCAAAGATGAATCTGTTGATTCTGATGACCATTGCTGATATTGTGATCCCCATAAAAGGTAAATGTCTACTTCATTCAAATAGTTTCAGAAGGGATATTAAAAGTGTGATATCCTAAGACTGTCTCTGTAAATATACAAATACATGTACCACGTACAACGGGGTGCTTTTCAAATTGACAGGCGAACCATTAAATATATGAACATGTTCGTTTACGACACTTCAGTAATAAAGAGGTCGTTGTAAGAGTAACTGATACGAAAAATCACCATGAATTTTTTATGTGATGATTTTTTTACTAAATTAACGGAAAATAAGTGTACTTATTCAATAAGTGTAATAAAGTCTTACTTTTAATCGAGACTTGTTATTCCCTTGCGTTAACGTTATATTATTTATAATTATTGTTGTTTAAATTAACTCTATCGCATGCAATGTGCACAGACATTATTAGCAACCAGGAAGAAATTCAATCGGAGGTTTGGACTATTGTCGAATAACACGTGCTTCACGAACGAAAACGTAATCAATACACCAGCCGGAAACGGAATAGTAAACCATTGTCGTCACCCTTTGTGAAATCATGAAATAGATAGATTCCACAGTAGCCTCATACGACTAATGAGGCTACACAATTTTTACAGTAGACATATGGATAACATTATCAGATTTGACCAAGAATCAGTGAGAAATACGAAGTTCAATCCAGTTACCTATTATTACTATGGAAAGCTACTAATTTTGGGGTTAAATGGCGTAATTTAACGGCCTTTAGGATGGCCATTCTAGGGTAAGCATCTCTGCTATAGAAACCGTATACGCAATTGGCTGGATCTGATGATATATAGAGATCCCATAAAGGGTGTCACATAATGTAACAGAATCAGTATAATATGCCATGCAGCCTCAGTGTGGGATACTCTATATGTTTA